GCTCCACGGCAACGACAAAGCCTAGCGAGCAAAGTGATGCCGCGGGTGCCACTGATCAAGTGACCTTGCAGTGGCCTCTGGAGAGCTTCGAATTGCAGCTCGCATCGTATCTGCACTGGCGAATGGGAAAGATGTGCGATCAAACATCCACGTGCGCGGGCGCGCAGCCCCTGCGCCCCGCGGGGCCTGATGCACGCGAAACTCATTCTGGACAACGCTGCGGGGATCAGCTGCGGGGCCAGAGGGGCCGCGCGCAGCCGCGGGGGGAGTAACCGAGCGAACTGTCGTGACCTCCTGCAGGCCCCCAGCGCCGCCTGCGCTGGCTGTCCGACAATAGTCTTGCCAATGTTGATCCGCCCCGAGGGCTCCTGCCCGCTGAGCCGCCAGGACATCTTCTTCAATCTGCTCTAAGAGACCCAGCGCCAAGACGGGCGCAAAGACGCCGTCGGAAAATTTTCGAGCCTGCGAGACCGAATTATCCACGCGCAAACTTTAAATAAACCTGGGGGCTCTTCGCTACAGAAGGTGGCACTCAAGTCGCGGCCGACTCTCCTCCGCGCCGTCAGGCGAAGCCATCTGCGCAAGGCTCCGAACGGCACTCCGAGGCAAAGTCCAACCTGCGGAGATCAACGCTTCTCCCCAGAAATTCGGCACCGGATGCCCGGCGTTCACCCGCGCAGGCGCCGCGACTCCCCTGCGCGCCGGGGAAAAAAGAGCGGCCTGATATGCATTATTGGCCCCGCGCGCGCTGGGGGTGCTTAAGGCGACCCCTGGGCTCGCCTGCTCATCGAGGGCCCCCCCCGCGCAACGGTCAACCAAACCGTCCAAACAAGCTCAGCCTGGCGGGGCAGGCACGGGCCCAATTGGGGCTGATATAGGGTGCTTCGGAGCAACTGTGCAAGCCAAATGCTGGGCGCAGCAGCCCTGGCTCGCAAGCTCTAGCGACGCTGGCCAACGCGGGCGCGCCGCCCATTTCGAACCGATCGGGACAAGCCGATGCGCTTGTATACTGAAATCTTTTCGGGCGACGTAGTCAATGACAGCGCCGCCTCCGCCTCTTCTACACGCGCAGTGCTTTGGGGCCACTATGGTGGCGGACGCAAAGGACCAGAAACCATATCCTTCAACCTCGGCGGGCGTCAGATTCCGCCCCCCCCCCGCGCGCCCCTGCAGCGCGCCGGTCCATCGCCCCGCTGAGTCGCCCACCCGCCCCAGCTAACAATCTAGCATTGGGCCCAGTAGAGCCTATGCAAGGGTAGAGGTAGAGGTCGATGAGACTGAGGAGATTGATAGCTGGCCGCCCGGGGAGCTCAAGGATCACGCGTTGAGCTCTGCGGGGGGGGGGGGGGGGGGGGGGGGGAGGGGGCAACCTGCGTCGACGAGGTAGCTGGAGCACGTCGTCCACGCTGTGAGCGCACAAAAGTGGCGACTCCCGCCGTTGGCAGCGCACGCGCTGACGGCAACGCTGGCAAGGCCAGAACTGGCCACCCTCGGCTTCCAGCCCAAGTGTTCACAGTTTCGAGATTGCATTCTGCGCGCCCGCTTTTCTCCTGCGCAATGACGACCAAAGCTGAAGTTCGCAACGGGCGTTTCTTTGTCGTCTTCTTCCCCCCATTCGAGCTGATCGTCCAATTTCAGGACTGGAAGCAGCGAGGTCTGCGGGCGGCCTCGGCACCGTCAGTCCTGGTCGAAAACCTGCGACTCGGGGAAGACACTGGAGCAATCGTTCACCATGCTCAGCACCTCCGCATCCGCTGCCCAGAGCTACGCTGGCGGCCCCACCCTGCGCCGAGCTGTGCGGGGCGCAAGTCGGGCCCGCGCCCCTGGCGTGCAGCGCGCGGAGGGGCTCTCCGACACCTGCCTCCGCCACGGCGCTGCGGGGCTGGCCTAGTGAGCGGTGCTGGGGGCGGAATGGGTCGTGCGGTCCCGGCGGATCCAGCCACCCCTACTGCCGCGATTGGCCATCATCAGGAATACTTTTGCCGCTTGACGTTGGGCCCTCGCACCTTCGCCTAGAACTCGGCGAAGTTCCCAGGATCGCGTTGGTCACGCAGCCGTTCTTCATCAGGCTCCTCGATCCCACGTTTGTCTCGGCCACTTGCAGGTTTGCCATCCTTGCCAGTTGCATCCGACATGGGGGCATGTTCAGGCGCATCATCATATTAAACAATATCATGGAACTTGGCCTTGACGCGCATCGCCGCAATCGTCTCCTGCCAGGCCACGCTGCCAAGGAACTCGGACAGACCTGCATGCTTCTGCTCGAGCTCCTCAAGATTGGGAAACTCGGCCGTGGGCACAACATTGGGCGCTGCACCTTCTGCTGCCACAGCGGCTGCATCAGGCGCAAGTGCCGCTGCCGTTCTCTCGAACTCCTTCGGGATCTCAACAAATCCCTAACGTTTGGAATCTAGCCGCTGTCCCTTTTCCGCAAGGAGTGCTGGAGTTGAGCCAGCTGCTTTTCCTAATTTTCCGATTCCGATTCCTGCCTTGTGATCGCCGTGCGTGTGCGCGCCAACTCTTGAGCAGCACGCCGGCGCGCAATGTGGAATTACGCCGAGATATGAGGGCATCCCGCAAAAGTGCAACTGCTTGTGACCGTTTCCCTTCATCACTCTCTGGATCGATCGCGGCTTTGGCAACATTGCATCCCTGCGCTACCTTAGCCCGCGGAGCCTTAGTTGCCTCTCCTGTCTTGCCATCACCTTTGCCCCCAGGAAGCTGGCCACGACCGAATGATTTAACCAACTCAGCAAGTTGAGCCTGCATGGTGACGAGAGGCGCAGTATGTTGTCCAGCACCTTCTTTGCCCCCCTCCCTGCCGTTCTTGTTTTGGCCGGCATTCGCACCTGCATACGTGAGGCTGGCAAGGTACTTCTTCTGATTTTCAAGTGCAAGATGCTTCATGTGTTCTGGAGCCGCGCTGCCACGCCTGCAGCGCAGCCTGCTGGCCCAATTGCGAGCCGCTAAGGGTAGCCCGTAAGCCCACTCAGGCTTACGATGACCAGCCACAACATCCTCATTTGACATGGGCAGCTATGAGGGAGGGAGCCTGTTCACCAGAGCCCACAGACGACACGGTGCTGATGTGGGGGCCCAACTTCCACAGTGAAGGCCGCGAAAAATGAATGCGGAGAGGCAACCTCTCTGCCAGCCGCGGACAAACGGTATCCATGTGTTGCTCTGTGGAACAAAACATGTTGAGCCAAAATCGCTACGGGAAAGGAGGAAGAAGAGGAGGACGAAAAGGAGTAGGAGGACTACAGTCAGCGTCCTATCAGGAGGGCCAAATAAGAAACGAAGGGGAATTTCTGGCCACGGCGACCCGCGGCTTCGAGTAGGCCCCCCGACCTAGATCTAACGAACGGCCCGAAAATCGCAGCTGCTCCTGAACCCCGGGCGGTCCTTACTTCAGCGCCTTGACTGTAGCACAGGGAGATGATGAGGGGGAGGACAAACAAAGCGGCAAGAGGAATAATCACGAGATGGCCACGCCCGCGTTGTGAGACGCCCGCTCCCCGTCTCCTTGCCGTCGCCGCGGGACGCGTCCATGGGGACCTCGAGATCCGTCTCTGAAGCAGCGTCTAGAAACCAACCATGTACGCACAAATGTCCACCTCCTCCTTCCTCCTCCCTCCCCCCGCGACCTCTCGCTGCTTTCCCCCTCTCCTGGGGGGGTGCATGGGAAAGGCGGGGGAGCGAGGTGGATCCGTATTCAGTCATTCACCTAAGAGCCCCCCCTGGCTCCAAAGTAGTCCTCGTTTCCGCGTCTTGGCTGCAGTTGTCCTCCCAACCGTCGTGCAACCGTCTAGGGGGTGAGGGGGGAACACACGCCGCAAGCCCACTCTGGGCCCAAGGCCCTGGTGAAGCGCGGCTCCTGGCCAGGGCCACTGGGCCCAGACAAGCAGACACTCCCCCCAAGAAAGTGCTCGAACTTAGGGTCTTCTGAGTCCGGTTGCCTAACATTGTGGATGCCACGACAATGGACACCCTAACAGTCCTATCATCGAATTAAAGGTGTGTTTAAAATGTGTAAAACCTGTTCTACAAATGAATCAAGTCAGGCGTGTCCCCCTACAAGGGAATTTTTGGCGAAAATGTTTGACTAAAAAAAAAAAGCCGAATGGGCAAACATAGCCAGAAAATCGTCCCCCGATTATTTTTTGACTATTTCTGGACATTCCCCCTTGTAGAGGGGCAGGCCCGACTTGAGCCCAGAAGGACTGGGCAGGCCCACGGAGGATTCGCATGGTGGCCGACTTACGCCCAGAAGGACGGGGCAGGCCCGATTTAAGCGGCCACAAGCCTTCCGCCGTGGTTCCATATGTGTTTTTTCCATGTTCCCCGACCCCCCCCAACTGGAAATGGAGGGCAAACTGAGGCCTTCGGGTTGGGTCGGGGTGGTTTGGTGGGTGGTGATGCACGCAAAGAGTGACCCCTGGTGCGCGGCTCTTTGGGGGCCGCGGGGGGGGGCAAAAAACGGGCGCGCAGGACGCCACCGCCGCCCCGCGTTCGGAGGTCGGGGGGCCCCAGTGAGCCCGCACCAGAGGCCACGCCGGCAAAGGGGTCACTCTTACGTGTAGTCGAGGCCCTCTGGGCGGCCCGTCGGCCACACAGCTTGCTCCACGCTGCCAGCACCATATCCATTGCGCCACGTAGTTTGCACGCTGCAATTTTGTCCTGCACAGCGTTGCCATACAACTCAGGCCGCATACGTTATACCACATTGCATTGTTTTGACGATCCCAAAGCATGGACATGGCCTCTACAGACCGGCAATGTGGACACAAATGGCCAGCACTATTCTTTTTGCGACGCCCGGATCACGAGACAACCGACGATATGATTTGTCCAGTACGCGGGCCCCAGGTCTCCCGCGCTGCATCAATCCTTGATGGCTCCAATGCTCGTGAACGGCCCCTGGAGGCCGAAATTTAGCACAAACGCCGGGATTGAAAACACCAATCTGCAAGAGGTCTGGTTTGAGGGTTCGAAGGGGCCGTGATCAGGTCCGCCATGAGCCCGAAGGTGTGCGGCTGAGGCTGCGCCTCCCAGGCGTTGCGCACCGTCTGCAGGAAGGCGCTCTCCCCGCCAGCCGAAGCGTCCAGGGCGAGGTGCTCCCACAGGCAAGGCGGGTCCTGCCAAGGGGGCGGGGGTAGTCGGTGGGCGAAAGCTTGGGTGTCGTTGGAAAAGTCTGCTTCAACATGAGCGCACAGAACCATGAACCGAGGGGCAGCAGCGAGGCAGACCCCCACAGCTGATGAGATTGCAATTGGAACCCACTCTTGCCCCGACCCGCCCAAGACCCTGGGGGGGGGGGGAAGGGAGCTCGATTCGCTCGGGAAGCCAACCGTGGGGTTGGGGCTTTACCCTGGTGCCCCCATCTCCCGTGGGACTGTATTTCTTTAGACGGAGCTGCTAATACTTTGTGCCTGTAGTTCGGCCGACCGACCGAGCTGGAAGGTCAGGCCAGCACGTGCCCTTTGGCGCCGAGGGTACCCGATGAGGTGCCCAGCCCACTCTGAAACGTCAGGGTCGTGCCTCGGCGTCCTCGTCGGAGCGCATCCTGGGCCATGTCCGGGGGCCGATGCTTGAGGCAAGGCGGCACACCAGGCATCTGGCGACTCGAACAGATCGAACAAAACGGTTCCTCGCCGCGCGGGCCTCTGGAAGCCAGTTTCGGGCTCAGGGAAAAAAACGGTCGACGCTTCAGGGCGGCAGCTTCTCAACAAAATCGAACAACAAGCGCAGGGCCGAGGCGCGACGAGCGATGGTGTTGTAATTTTGCTGTTCGGGGGCGCCTGGGGCCTCCAACGCCGCCTGAAATTTCCAGCAGATTGGATCAACGAGCCTCGGGATACCTCCAGGGGCCTCATCGGGAGGCCTTCGGGGTCCTCTCCAAGGCTAGGAAGTGCGATGGGGGCATATAGAAGGAAAAGGGGGGAAAATAGGACAGAGGAGGGTGAACACAACAACACTAGAAACATCAATAGAAACATGCGTCGTAATCGTCTTCGTAAGAATGCTTGTCGGAATCGTAGAAATAGTAGCAGCATTGTCACCGCCGTAGTCGCAGTAGTAGTATTCGCTTGATAGCAATCGTATTAATAAGGATTAGTAGGGTGCAGCACTCTGCTGGCGCAGAGAACCCGCGGGAATCCGATGGAATTTCAATGGAATCCTCAAGATTCCTGCGGGACCTTGAGGAATCCTGAGGAACCCGTGTGTATCCCGAGGGATCCTGGGGAATGCCGAGGAATCCAAAGAAATCCTTGGGGCACAAAGGCGACCCTCAGGAATCCGCAGGAAACCAACAACAATCTCGAGGATACCTGAAGCCCGTATGTGCTCCAAGGCGTGCCGAGGAGCACCCAGGTGTAGCCCCAGGCGCCCCCTGGCGTTCACGAGCGCTTCCAGGCGCCTCTACGCGCTCCCAAGCGCACCCAAGGCGCTCTTCGGTGCTCCCAAGCGCGCTCTCAAGTGCTCCCCCAAGCGCCCGCAAACGTACTACCCGGCGCTCGCAGGCGCGTCCCCACGCTTCCACGCGCTCACAGGCGCTCCCATGCGCTCTCAGGCGCGTTCCCTGGTGCTCTACGTACGTATGTTAATCTATATATATATGTATAGAGAGAGGTATCTCTATACATGGTACTTGTATAGATGGTGTACATGGTGTGTACGTGTTGTATATACGTGTTGTAAAAAAACATGTAGGTGTTTTGCAAGTGTTGTATGGGAAACGCACATGGATTGTACATGGTGTGTATATGATCCGTAAATGTGTTGCATGTGTGTTGCAGGTGTGCTGCGTATGTTATATCAATGGTGTGCGCCTGGTGTCTATAATGTGTTGTCGTATTGCATGTGGGCCGCATATGTTGTACGCATGCGCCGTACATAGTCGCACACGACTTGTAGATGGTTGCGTATGTGTTTTGTATACGTGTTGCGGTCGTTGTGTAGAATGTGTGGCACATGTGTTTCATGTATGATGCATATGTTGTGCACACGTCTTGAGTAGGTTTTGTATAGCGATTTGTAAAAATGTGTTGTATGGGTGATGTGGTTTGCGCACGTTGTGCATATATTTTGTACATGTGTTGAATAGTTAATGTCTATGTTGTGTACGGGTTGTATATGCGTTGTACATGCGTGGTTGGTGTGTTGCGCATGTTGTGTTCATGTGTTGCATGTGCTTTGCCAGTGTTGTGCATGTGTGGTGTGCACGCGTTGCGCACGGTGGGCAAATCTGTTCTCTATGATGTCGATACGTGTCGCACGTGTTCTGTTTGTGTTGTGTTTGGTGTGTATATGGGATTACTATACTTTTCGTTCATGGCGTGCATGTGCTGCGTATGTGTAGATCCTTTGTATGTGGCAGATATATGTGTGTAAACAAGTTTGTATACGCACTGTAGATTGTTTGCTTGTGGTTTGTATATGTTGTGTGGAATGTGTCGTATAGATGTTGTACATGATTTGCTTGTGTGTTATACGATGTGCTGCGTTTGCGCTATATGGTTGTAAACCGGTTGTGTATCGATGTTGTATACGCTGTGTACATGCATTGTGCATGCGGTGCGCATGTTTTGTAAGTGTCATGCAGGTGTTCTGCCTATGTGATATATTCGTGTATATGTGTCTTGTATCAGTATTGCCTATGTGTTGCATGTGTTTGGTATGTTAGTTCTCATCTGTGCTGCATCTGTACTGTTTTTGTTTTGCATGCGGTTTGGCTGTGTGTTGCGTATGTGTTGCGTATGTTGTGTATACGGCACAATAAAAGTTGCGTGCATGATTATAATATGGTGGTATGATTGTTTTTTATGTATTGCATATGGCTTGTGTTTTTTTTTCGTGTACGTACTGCACATGTGTTGCATATGTATTGTATATATGTTGCATACGCATTGTAGATTGATTGCAGCTGTGCTGTGTGTGCTCCTTCTATGATTTGGAAATGTGCACTACATATATTCGAGTTGTGTTGTACATGTGACATGTGTCATGAATGTCCGCAGATATGTCCGTATGTGTTGCGTATGAGTTGTATACGTGTCCAATACATGCTGTACACACATTGTTTGATTCATGGGTTGTACATGTTACCTACATGGTTTGAACACGTATGGTATGTGTGTTGTATGTGTGTTGCATACGTTTTCTACATGTTTTGTATATGGATTGCACGCGTTTTGTATGTACCCGAACATATGTTGCATATGATGCACATGTCTTGCATGTGTAGCGTACACGTGTGTTCATGGTTGTAGACATGTCCGTTAGGTTTGTACACGAGTTGTATATGTTGTGCCCATGTCTTGTAGATGTCCCCTATGCGATTATCCGTGTACTGCACATGTATATTATGTGTTCTTGCGACCACGCGTCCTCAACACAAAAACTCCACCGCCCTCCCGTCTTCCGTTCCCCCAGCAAAGTCGCGCAAACAGAATACGGCCATCCATATGGGTGGTAGTGGAAGTAGTGGTAGTGGTAGTGGTAAGTGGTAATGGCTGCCGTGGTAGTAGTAATAATAGTAGTACGAATAGTAGCAGTCGTAGTAGTAGTCGTCGTAGTAGTGATTGTAATATTATAACCCGTAGTGGACGTAAAGTACCTATACATGAAATAGTAGTAGTAGTAGTAGTAGTAGTAGTAGTAGTAGTAGTAGTATTAGTAGTAGTAGTATACATACGAGCAGAATACCTCGCAGGACTAGTCGTAATAGTAAAGATAATACTAATAGTAGCAGTAGTCGTAGTGGCACAAGCAGTAGTAGTAGTAGTAGTGGTAGTAGTAGTGGTAGGAGTAGTGATAGCGGTAGCAGTTGTAGTCGTAGTAACAGTAGAAGTAGCAGTTGTAGTAATGGTAGTAGTAGTAGTAGTAGTAGCAGCAGCAGCAGTAGTAGTAGTAGTAGTAGTAGAAGTAGTAGTAGTAGTAGTAGAGGTAGTAGTAGTAGTAGTAGTAGTAGTAGTAGTAGTAGTAGTAGTAGTAGTAGTAGTAGCAGTAGTAGTAGTGGTAGTAGTAGTCGTAGTAGTGGTAGTGGTAGTGATAGTAGTAGTAGTAGTAGTAGTAGTAGTAGTAGTAGTAGTAGTAGTAGTAGTAATAGTAATAATAGTAGTAGTGGTAGTAGTCTTAGTAGTGATGGTCGTAGTAGTAGTAGTAGTAATAATCCTCGTCGTAGTAGTACAACTAGTGGTAGGAACACAGACATGGGCAAGTCGAGTTTGATGCTTTGCGTTTCGACCAGCGTCCCCTGAGACGTCCTCCTCGCAACTTCAACTGTTGGTCTGGGTGCGCGGCCGCCCTTGGCTTCGATCGCAAGACCAAACCGCCTTGGCAGGCCTTTGCGCCAACCCTCGACTTTCACATGCGCACGGATCTCGTCCACGACATTTCCGAACCTGCTGGCGCACTGCCGTGTGGTCTCCAACCACGGCTTGCCCGTCGTCGTCGACGCCAACCTCTGGCGGATCCAGGAGCCCGCGGTTTCACGCAAGAGGACCTCCTGCATGTCCCAGGCTGCGCGCTCGCTACGAAATCCATCATGTTTTTGACGCCATGGTCGCGCAATGCTTCCCAGAACGTCTGAGTGATACTGCTTCGGGCAATGCTGTAGAAGCCGTGGCCCCTGTTTACCATGACGGAGTAAGGTTTCGCTAAGCCCTCCTGGAAACGCTCGTTCACGTCGCCTTGTACGCCTGCCACGAACGCTTCTGCACCCTCTGGAATCTCGCCGTGGTACTGAGAATCGACGACAAACACGTGTAGTTTTCCGTGCATCCGCGAAAATGCCCAGCAAATCTTGGCTGCCCCCAGCATAGTTCCTGAACTCCTCCCCTTTGCCGTGCAAGCTCGCTGATTACATCTCGCTCACTCGCTCCACTAGCTGACACATCCGCGCTTGCCCTTCCTGGTGAAGGCCTGGGCGGATACTTGTCCTGCTACGGACCGGGTGAGTCGACGATCCTGATGCCCTTCGAGGCTGACCGAGGCAAGCCTCGGCCCACCATCGGTGACAGAAATATGGCGCAAACGACATCAACTGACAACCCCGAGGCCCTTCGAAGCCGGCCCCGGCCTATCATCAGTGCCAAAAAAATGCGGTGTGGACGTCGAAAGACGACGATCCCAA